TTTCGACCTTAGTAACTGTCACAATCACAATAGCCAATGTAAACCATACCACCAATGACAATGTCATTACAATAAACATTTTTCCAACAAGGTACTTTCTGCTTGGTTGGCTTTCTGTTTGGAGCTCAGTGGTACTATGTTCATCAGTGCCTTGTGCAGCAGTGAGGAGCTCAACAGAAGGACGATGATGTCCCTCATCTGCATCGTGTATATCATGGTTTTCTTCAAATGGAATCTCATTCATTTCTTGAACGCTTGCCTCATGAGAAGCAACAATATTGATTTGCTTGCTCTTCCCTCTCTTCCTATCAATTAAAAGTTTAATCCTATCAATAATGTGTGGCGAATATTTCCAAATAACCAAAAAGAGACAATTGCAGAAAACAGCCAAAGGTATCACAAAGAATTGCTGGATGAGCATGTGTTTCCTCAATTCTGGATCTGTTCCGTAATTCTTATCTGCCTCAATTGAGAACCCAATTGTTGCTGGAATAATTGTACTTGGTAAGGTGCCTATTATTGATTTAAAAGTTGATTTAAAAAAATTGAACTAATTGGTTTACAACGTACCAATAACACCTCCAACCTGAGGTCCAAACTTTTCAATAATGACAGTGATAGCAATTGTCACCAAACCAGCAAACACTCCACTTCCAAATGCATTGAAATAAATTGACTTGACAATAACCCAAAAAAGATTATCTTCAATCCCACTCGAATTGTTACTATCTGTTCCATTTGTCATGGAATCATTATTCGTCAAATTGACCATATTATAAACAAGTTCATTATTGTATTCATCCAATACAATACTCTTCATAATCAATTTATCAAGAGGAAAGAACTCCAAAGCCAATTCATTACTTGTTTCCCGAAAATCATCCTTACAAGATATTATTCCGAAGAAACCTATCATCACCATCATCAAAACTACAATTATTCGAATTCCCTTCAGAGAATATTCTTGTTGCCTTTTACTTTTCATTACTTCTTTGATTATTTACAGTTGGATTCTTGTTCGGCTATGTAATACCAGTAGTCACAATGCGATATTTTTTTATTTCTTAGCTTCGGATGAGGGGATTTTTCAAATCTTCGAAGAGTTCGATGGAGTATCACTACAAGAGAAGAATTGGATTTGATACCAAAGAACGCTTATTATCCATATTTGGGTTCATTTAGAACAAGAATGTCCATTCATAAAATATTCAATAATCCCGTCCGTTCGAAGAAGCTCATAAACAGCTATTGTTAATAAATGGTGAAAAATTGATGATGAAAAAATTGAGTTGAATTACTAATATACTTCTTGCCATAATATGTTGGCTGATGATTAAGGATTGAAATTTGGAAGGAATTTCTTTGCGATATGTGTCCTTAATGATTGAACAAAATTATCAGTTGAGAAATTATTAATTTATCTATTTATTGATGAAGATGATGATGAATGTTTCAATTAGAAAACAACAATATATTACTAAACTAGAATTATCTAGTTATCCATTGCTGTACGGAAACTCCTTAACTCCAACATCAGCATTACCATACCTCCTCACCTCTCTATTATACAAGAAGGAACACCAACATGAAGCAAACATACAAACGACACTAGTGAGTGCAAGGATAGCACAAGCAGCCAAACCAACATAGCCAATTTCCTTAACCTTGTACCAAGTGGTTTTATCCTCCACTACAATGGTATGATAATAGCTGACAATTTGAGGACGAAGATGATCATAGAAACATTCAACCACTTCTCCCTCCTTGTAGGAATGTTGGGAACTGGTGGATGAATGAGGAAAATAGGAAACACTCTCTAGAGTTGGTGTGTAAACTGATTGAGTGGTGTATTTGAGTAAGGCATGGCAATTCAAGATTTCACTTTGATCTTGTTTGGAAGTACCGTGTAAAACAACGTAATCTTGAACAGAGGTTTTTTCACAATATATGTTTGGATTGATAATGGTACAAGTTGTTTTAACACTTGTCTTGATTGGAGGAAAATCATTAATTCGGTTGACTAACAATGTTGAAGTAACCAATAAGAACATGGAAAAAGAAAGGAAAGAAATGGAAAACACAAGGAATATCCACAGATACAACCTCTTATTCTGCAAACTAATCATTTTTTATCATTATTCAAAGCAAATTGAACAAGACGAATTTGGAGTATTGCTTTTTCAGAAAATTCCATTTTCATTTATTGATATTCTTTAGAAAATCCTCAAATATTTTAACCATATTAATATCTTCCAATTTGTTTGGTATTTTCCAGTGTTTAAGATTATATTCTATAAATTCCCTCATGAATTGATCCATCACTTGACCATATTGTGGATTTCTATCTCCTCCCTCGCATGCTATATTGTTTCCAAGATCAACATTGGGAAACATTTCATCGTCAGAGGAAAGGTCAAAATCCTGAGATGATGTACAACACATTTTCCTATCAATCTTTTCAATTTCTTTCCTCGCTGATTCTGGTAAATGGACAACCTTGTCTGTTATCATTGCATCATTCGAATTTACCATTATATTCGAATTTGGATTATCATTTAAACTTCCCAAAGAGTATGAATGATGTACAAAAGTGGTTGGTACCTGAGCAATTTGATTTGTGGAAGGATTCGACTCACTAGGCAGCGAGCTCACTTTGAACGAATTGCCACTATTCGAATACATAACATTTTGAGAATCCAAAGAAGAAGACACCAATTTTCCAGGTGCTGAATCTATAGAAGAGCTCATCCTTCTCTTTCTCTTTTGTGGAAACTTGAAATTGGCAGTCAAGTAATATTGAATCACAAATTGTTTCCACACCTCAGGATACTGCTCTTCAAATGCCTGACATAACATTAAGAGCTGAGCGAATCTTCTCTCCTGCTTGCTCTTCACGCAATTCGTATTGCTATCCTTGCATGTCTGACAAGTATCCAATTGTCCATGACTATTACATGTAAAGTTGTTTGCTCGTGGCGAAGAAGAGGATGAATGGTTGAATCTTGCACTATTCGGCGAAGAGTTTGAATGGAAATCTTGTTCGTGTTCGCTCATCATCATGGTCGATGAGGAGTTGTTGTTGTGATGAGAATGCTTGTGGCCCATGAGTTTGAGTGTTGTCGTTTTTTTGGTGTTGGAGAGTTCTTTAGCTGGCAAATTGGTTGATTATCTTGGAGACTCTATTTTGCATGATGAGGGGAAAAGTGACCTAATAGGTTTTAGTCCTTTTCATTGACTAATTGGTGTCAGTTGTCTTTAAAAAATTGGCATCTTTCATAATTGTTTTACTGCCTATTTTGAGCCTGACAACAATCCTCAATGGCGAGATTCCTACCTTACAGGAAATAAGCTCAAAAAGGCGAAGAAAAAACAACCTACAACCACACTGAACAGTTTCTTTGTACCTAACAAGTGACAAGATTTTTAGAGTAAAAATTGATTACTTGAGACAGAGTTGTTGTTGTTTTGCTTATTGTGAAGTTCCCATAAAGTTTAGAATGTCATTAAATTCATGATGAATTCATTAAATAATATCAAGTAACAGAAGTAGATTGAAGACCTGTCAAAGATGACAGAGAGATGACATCAATAAAAGTCAATTTTTTCACTTGACATTAAAATCTGACTTATTAGGAACCACAGATGAACAAAAAGATTAACATAATTTTTAATTTATAATTTTACATGACATTTCATTTATTGAAATATCACAATGTCATTAAATAACTTGTCAAATTCAATGATTTGAATTGAATAATAGAAATAATTAACAAAACTTGAAAAAATGTACAATTTGTGAAAACCCTGAGTGATAAACAAGGTTGATATAAGAAATGATTTGGAATCATTGAAGTCAATTTAGAACAAATCAAGTTGCTTCTTGAGCTTCTTCTTTTGGAAAGCACCCAATTTAACATATTCAGTCAATGTCATGCCAAAGTGCTTTTTGAAATCTTCAGAAGACAAGTAGAGTTCCTTCTTAATTGGATCAACTCCCTTAGGGAACTTTCCTTGCAGTTCTTCAAGCTTGAACTTGGCATTTCTTGGATCTAAGAATTCACCATCCTTCTTCTTCTTAATAGCATCAATGGTTTCCATCTTCTTTTTGGCTTCTTCTTCTTCAATCTTCTTCTTCTTTTCTTCTTCACTCTTGAGATAAGAACCGAATGTCAACTTGGTTTCATCCTGTTTTTTTTTGTAGTATATGAACAATAGCAATAGTAGCAGTGTGTGAACATTTGTGTTAAATTGTAAGTGGATAACAACAAATTGTGGTAGTAATTAGTAATTAAAATTATTAGAAACTTGTTTAAATAGTGTTAGAAACTTACATAGACAACATCAGCACTTTTACCCCATTGAGCACCAGAACGGAATTTGGTTTCCTTTCTGCTGGATGAGTCCTTTTCGTGAGTGTCCAAATAACTACCCCAAGTGAGTTTGTTTTCATCCTATTCGAATATAAATACGTGTTAGAATTCATTGTAATGTAATTTTACAATAATAGATTGTTACATTATCATTACACAATAGTGTAATTACACACAGTAACACAACAACAGCACATCAACAACAACAACAAATATTAAATTTGACGTCAGCAGTATAGTAGTAGTAGTAATAATAATAATAAATATTACCCATTCAATGTATTCAATACAAAAAGTATTAATACACACATTATTAGTTGTGTTATAACAATATGAACAACAATAACAATCATAATAATATTATCATTATCAACATATATAAAAACAAGTAAAAAAGTATAAATATCAATGACCTTTTCAATACTTACATAAATTTGACCTGACTTTCCCCATCTAGTTTGTTCATTAGCCTTTGTATTCTTCATGGTGGCCAACAATCTTTCGTGAGTATCCAAGTATGATTCAACAACATCATCACCTTCAGCACCTGCTCCTGCAATATCTTCATCACCGTAGGCATCTGCGTATGGATCACCTTCTTCTTCATCATCTCCTCCTCTATTATTACGAGAACTAGCACCACGTGGTGGATAATCATCTTCATCGTTGTGGTGATTGGCTTCAGCTTCTTCATTTTCGAGTTCTTCTAATTTCTTGAGGAGTTTATCTTTGGCAGCAGAGAATTGTTCTTCGTCCATGATACCATCATCAAGAAGGTTTTGTAAGGATTCAATTTGATCCAAAATTTCGTCTCTAGTTGACATCTCTATCAGGTTTTGTTGATGGAGTGGTGATTTGTTAATTTTTTTTATTGAAAATTGCAATTGGATGACAATTGATTGATGAGTACCTTCGGAAAGACAAGCAATAAATCATCATTGATTTGAAGGTGTTTGAGGTCTGGAAGGAGGAGCATATTTTTGCAGCTCTTGTTCTGTTAATAACCCACAATCCTTGATCCTCAACGTTCCAATCACTATCTTACCTGAGTCGCTCCCAAACGATTCAATCTTCTTCAGCACTTCAAATCCTTCTTTCACTCTCCCAAATACAACATGTTGGTCATCGAGCCATGGACATTTAGAAAGTGTAATGGCGTACTGACTTGTATTAGTATTTGGGCCATAATTTGGACATGTCAACACGAATGGTTCATGTTTCAATTCAAAATTTTCATCTTCCAAGACCTTACTTGTCACTGAATGACCTGAATTCCCATTATTTAAAACAACATCACCTCCTTGTATTAAAAATCCTCTAGCTATCCTATTTACATTCGTTCCTTTATAGTGCAATGTTGCTGTAATATTATTAAATTCCTTCAATGGTTTGGTTTTTCCCTTATCTCCTAAACATAAACTTTTAAAATTGGCCACTGTTTTAGGAACCTTATCCTCATATAATTCAAATATTACCTTTCCTATTTCCTCTTGTGTTGTTCCGTCATCTTGTTCAAATAGAAAGAATGAATGAGGATTTATCTTTATCACTGGTGTTGCTGCTTTCTTTGGATCGGTGGGTTTCTTTGCTGAGGTTGGTTTTTTAGACATTTTTTTATTAAGTATCAATAACGTGTTGTAGTTTGATTGGCGCCAAAATATTAAAGAACATTTATCAAAAAAATGGCTCACCACAGTGTTTGGAACAACCTTCATCAACTAGCTGTTTGGCTGTAGTTTTTGTGGAGAGAAAATACTGATTAATGTAAGGCGATGCAACTAGTTCAACTAATTTGATGGTCGGAATAATATTGTGTTGGATTTCAACAGAATGATTCTCGATCTATATTAGCGAGTTTTGAATAAGTAACATAATCAAAAGGAAGAAAATTGGCATTAAACACGTTGTTCAATCGCCTTCATAACCCTCAATGGATTGTGGATTGAAATGACGCAATCAATTCTTTATTCATTTTAAAAAAAAATGTTTAAAAATCTGGCAAGTTTGTTGATTGCCGTTTTTTTGGTTGTCAATTTGATGGCCGGAATTAGTTTCGTCTATTCAATTTCAACACCAACAGACAACGTTTACAGACAAGAAAGAAAAGATACTGATAATTTTACAGTTTTACAAGAAGACAATGATCAAGATGATTTTAAAAACTATATTGTTAAACCCGATGGAAGCACTGTTTACTTTAAAGCACACTACGCTCCAAATCAAGTATGTTTTGAAATGAATATATTCACTAATCATGGTTGTTAAAGAATACTAATGGATATAAGGGTGTTAGACTCGTTTATTTGAAAAATGACGACTCTGCTAATATTATCAGTGACACAGAAATATCTGAAATGAATCAACTCATTTTCTTGAATGAAAATGATCTTCTTTTTGATGGTGCCATCGGTACTGACAGGAAGCAAGGATTATACAAAGCTAACTTTAACGCAAATGCAATTAAATCAATCAAGGAAGTAGACACCCTTTCATCAATTCTTACAAAAAATTTATTCATTGGAGCAAACAGTGAAGGATTGTTAAGTGTCGACAAAAGTTACAATGTTAAAGAAAATTTTGAAAGGAAAGGAGACAAAGTATATTTCCCTCTTACATTTTCCAAAGATTATGAAGGAGATGTCAACGTCCTTTACCAAAATGGAGAGGTCTTATCTATTGGAAAATTGGATCCATTAGCATTGAATATTACTTGGGTAAAAAACCTTACTTATCAATCCGATTCAATGGTTCAAGGAACATCCCTTACGTTTTATTTTGATGGCCTCAAAACTATTGTCACCTCAGATGATGGAAAGTACTCAAATTTATTCGATGGCAAACCATCTTACCAAACTACTGTTATGGGAAAAAATATTATTGGAAACAAAAAGTCTCTCTACATACATTTGAATGACAAGCTCCAAAAAATCAATGACGCAGTAATGAGCTTGTTTATTAATGATGGATTAGGATTTTATATCAAGGATGGAAATATTATCTCATTTGCAGTTGTTAGAGATACTTTTAATGAAGTTGATACTATCTACACTGGAGGAGATGCTCAAAATATTTTAACTTTCAATAATGGTAATTTGGTATTCAAAACTTGTACAACTCTCGGCGGTATCTGTTCTGTCAAAAGAATGGATGGAAAAGAAAAAGTTTTTACCCTAATTGAGGACACTGATAATGACGATAAAGGCAATTGGGATTATATGCTCTTACCATTGAAGTATAAAGATTTTGAGTTTGCAATTTTGGTACATGCCGACAGCAGTAATCCCATGTTACTGAAATTTGCACTCAAGCCTCCTGTCAGTTGCCATGGTTTTAAAAACACAGACTCTGATGTGTGTAGTGGTAATGGAGAGTGTGTTGCAGAGAATATTTGCAAATGTAAAGGTAATTTTGATGGAGAAAAATGTGAGAAATGCACTGCCAAATTTGAAGGAAAGTATTGCAGTGACCTAAAGAGTAAGTGGCTAAAATTAATTTCACCAATTTATCATAATCACGGAATAGTTCACAAATGTTATGGATTACCAGCTAATTCATCAAGTGTTTGTGGAGGTGTAAAGAGGGGAGAATGTTTGTCAGAAAATACTTGTAAATGTAAGGCTGAATATTTTGGAAATGAATGCGAACATACATATTGCTTTGGAGTTCCTTCAATTTCAACAACTGGCAAGGTTTGTGGAGGTAAAGGTGCATGCGTAGATTACAATGAAGTAAGTTGATTTGAAACTCATATTTATTCATTCATAATAATAGTGTAAATGTGAAGATAGATATAGTGGAAGTATTTGCGAATACTATGAAAATGCCTTAGTTTCAGATCGTGGACTTTATCCAATCATGATTACATATGGTGTTATTTCCTTGGTAACAATTATTGGTTTATTAATGCTTGTTTTTTGTTTCCTTGGAAGACACAGAAAGGAATATTTGGCTTTGTATGGAGATAGATCAATTATTTCTCATCATGATCCAATCAATGGGGGGGAAGATGAAGAATTAGAAGATGAACCACACTTTTTAGAAAGAGAGCAACAAACAGAACCAAGTCAAAACAAACCTCAAGGCATCCAAGAATATACACTTGATGAGAGTGATGAAGACTTGTAATTTCAATTAAACAAGAAAATTTTCTAGAAACGAAATAATATTTAGGTTAGTTAGTCCAATCATTCGCAAAAATGATTCCTCGCTTAGGCTTGTTGGTCTTCTGACACTACCAAGTTGCTTCTCGGTCACTATAAATCTGAACAGTTAAGGCTAATCTTATTTATACTGCCCATCCCAACAAATTAACATTTTCAAAAATAGTTGTATTTTCAGAGTAATCATCACTTACAAAGGTACATAATAAACAGTTTCGTCAATAGCCTCAAGAACCATTACCAATTACTTTACATTAGCAGCCCCGCTAGCTCAGTCGGTAGAGCGTTGGACTTTTAATCCAACGGTCGTGGGTTCGAGCCCCACGTGGGGCGGTTGCATTTTTGTTTACCAAGTTGTTCATTTATTCTTCTTCTTTTTCTGTTGGGAAACATTTTTGATCGATTCCATATCCTTTCGTTTCGAATTCTTTTTGCGATCCTTAATTCTAGCTCTGTTTCCAGCAAGATATCTAAAAGCATAAATTTGAAATCCACCAATTCCATGCAATAACATTTGCCTAATAAAGTAATCATCAGAGAAACTATTTCCACATAAAAAAGATTCCAACATATCGAACTTAGTTCTTCTTTTTGATGTAGGAGTCAATGGAGATGGTGATGTTTCTGCCATCCCATCAAATAGAACATTATCCGAAACTGGATGAATTCCTTTCGTATTCGGTCCATAAAATGTACTGATATTTCCTCTCATAGGTGAAACAAAATGAGTTGTTTTTTGAGTGCTGTCAATAAATGAGCTCAGTGATTTTGATTGAGAACTTTGAGTATTCCACAATGAAATATGACCTACATGATCTCTCCTATTAAAGAATTCATTAAATTTCACCTCATATTGGTGAACGATTTGTAATCCATCTTCATTTAGTTTAGGTTTCAAATAATTAAAAGCAAATAATAATTGTCTCGGATCGTGAATATACTTCTCTCTAATCTTCTCATCTGTGTTAAATTTCCTGAGTGGATCTGAATCTGAAATCTTGTTTTCCAAATAGTATCGTCTCGTTAAAGGTTCATCCAAGAAAAAATCATGCAATTCCTTAATAATTCCTTTTTTCTGAGTGTAATCCATGCTTGAATAAAGTTCAAAATAGAGAATGGCCTCTGCATAGATGAGATATCTTGCCAATGCATTGTTATGTCTGAAAAAGATTGGTTTGATATATTCCTCAACGTGAAGTATGTTATCTTCCATGACATGATAAATTTCCAATTCGAAATGTTCTGCCACCAACATGCAAAGTTTCTTCTTCTTTCCAATATTTACAGGAAGTTCAGTATCAATACTGATAAATACATAATTCAATTTTTTCTTTGAATATTCATTATTCAACAAACTTAAATTCTGATTAAGGAATGATTGAGCTTTTTCCAAATAAATTGACTCAATCATAATGAAAATGATATGATTGACATCTGATTTAACACAACAATCATGAACATGTCTCTCTAAAAAGTTTGGAGTGAAATCATTGAAATATTCTGGAACTGCAGTAATGAAAATTGGAGCAATTCGTTGTCGGCTATGACTCTTGTTTCCACCCTTAGTTCCAATGAGTGAATCAGTGGTCAATAGTTTTTTAAAACTTTGAATTGATTTTTGCAAACTTTCATTATACGAAACTGTAATTCTTCTCTGTGATTTGTCGATTTGTAAGGAAATGATATTTCCACTAATTTCATCTGAACGATATACCAATTCCAATTCACTTTTTGATTGTTTTTCTATTTTTCCAATATTTTCTTCAAATTTCTCACCTACTGATGGTAAAATGAAATTTTCTTTCAATTCCTTAATAGTTTCGTATTCTTTTAGTGGAATTAGAATATTACCTGTTCTACGAGAAGGATTCATATAGGCATTAGAAAGACTTGGAATTTTGATTTCATCTTCATAGGACTTGAAGTTCTTCTTTTTAAAATCTCTTTTCACTCTCTCTGCTTTTTCATATAATGAAAGTTCCTTATCATCTGTTTTGGTTATTTTTTTGAATCCTGATTTAGTTAAAGTTTTCAATAAAATTTTAGATTGTTCTGAAATTCCTTTCATTGATTTAAAAGATTCATGATACGAATCAAGTTTCATTCTAGAATCATCTGTCATTTCGTTTGGAATAATTGCTTTTAAAGAATCGAATATCTCATCAATATGATCTGACAACATGTTTTTAAAATTTGTAAAATCAAAACATTTTTCATGACTTTGTGCTGCTAAAATTTTAGTTTCCAATAGAAAATGTAATTGAATTCTGAACATTTCAATTCTTGTACTGATTTTTTTCATTCTTTCACTATAGTAAGCAATCATGACATCTCTTGTATGTGATTCGAATAATCTTCTCTGAATTTTATCAGTCAATGAATTTTCATTTCCAAAACTGAAAGAATTTTCAATTTTCTTCTCTAATTTTTCACCTCTTGAAATTGCTCTTTGAATATTTGATTCCAAAGTTTCAATATATTGTAGTAAAGTTTTTAAAGTTTCATCTGCAATTTTATCTGTCTCTGTTTTACATAATTTTTGAAAATTGACAGGAAATTGAGTTCTGTAAAGTGTTACAATTTGTAAAGCATATCTCAATCCCTTAAAAATTGAATAATCAGTTTCAATTCTCTTTCTCATTTCAATTATTTTTGAAAATTCATCCTTAAATATAGTCCAATTATTTTTATCCGTTAAATGTGGTATTGTAATATTTGTTGCATAATTTGAAACTGTTACAACAAAATCATACTTTCCAAAAAAGTCAATTATTTTAGGTTCGTCTTCATTTTCTTCTTTCAATTCTTTCTTTTTAGGTTTTGGATTAGATTCAAAATCAACATTGAAAAAATCACTTAAATTTTCTTTAAATTCCCTAATATAGGAATTATGACATTTGATTAATTCTGAATAATGATTTGAATTTTCTATTGGACATCTTGAAGTTAAGACAATAGTAGGTGGATTATCTTTTCTTTTTTCAAATGCCTTATATTTCCATAAATTAGATGAACAATTTAAAGATAGGATATTTCTGTTACCTGTCAATGCCATTAAGATGACATTACAATTAGAAACAACTTCTTCAACAAGCATAGCTTGAATATCACCATAATTTTGTTCACCATAACCAGGAATATCCCATAATATCACTTCTCCATATTCACTTTTAAGTAATTCACACGGATAGTATAAAATATATTTGTCAACCATTAAAATGTCATCTCTATTGCATTCATCTCTTTTTCTTTCCTTTTCAAAATAGTTATGAATATCATGAACAGATTGAAACGTAAATGTTTCTTCTAATTCATTTCTATCTGCCTTTCCATTAAGAAATACGAAATGATCTTCACTTAATCTTACACTTGAAGTTTCTACATTTAATTTCTCTGGAAGTAAAAGTGAATTTGCTTCATCTGATGCTGAATCTTCGCAATCAGTTTCTTCATCATCATCATCGTCTTGAAATTCGAAACTTGAAGACGAAACTAAACTTAAACCATCTGTGAGTGGCGTTGGTGATGTTTGTTCATCTTCTGAATCTTTTGTTTTCATTAATTTCATAATTCTTTCTTCATACTTTTCAGCTGTACAATAAACTTTTGTAACTCGAATGTCTTTCGAATATTTAATTTGTGTACAGACTAAAGTTTCACCTGAACCTAATCTATCGGATGCCTTCATTGGAGAATTGTCATTTCCAGATAGTATCATATTCAATGTGCTTGTTTTACCAAATCCAGGTTCTGATAATAAACAAACAGAAACTTCAGGTCCTTTGTCAATAGTTTCGAATATATTCGAATATTTTGCAAAAGCTTTCGTCACATAATTATTTTCATTTAATTTATGTAGACATTGCTGCAAAATATGTTTCCGATCCCTTTCTTCATCAATTACATTATGTAATTCAGAATCGAATAGGTCAAAGGAGGCACTTGGCAATAGCGATGTTGACATTTTTTTACATCATGTCATTCGAGTTTTTAAAATGTTACACCTCGTCGTGTTTGTTAAGCTTCATGGATTCAAATTTCTCTTCTAAATTTTGAATTTCAAATTTACCATGATAAATGCACCACACGTCATTTCTCACTTCTCCAACACTTCTTAACCTTTGCCATCACCTCACATAAAACTCAACGCTTGTTAATATTGAAAAAAGAAAAAAATGATTCCTCAAACACCTGCTGACTCAAAGATTAACCACGTCAATGTTGTTAAAGAAGAGAGAATCAAGAGACAATTTCTTGATAAAATTGTCAAGGATTTTGGAACTTCTTCAAAGCAGAATCAGTCTAACAAGTTTGTGAAAGAAGCCTTTGACAATTATGAAAAGATTTATGAAAAGATTGAAAAAGGACCTGAAATTTCAATAGGTTTATTATCAGAACCTGGATTTGGTAAAACAAGCACATTGAATATGATACTATCTGGAAAAGATGATTATCCAATGAAGGCATCTTCTAAATTTGGTTCAGGTGAAACTTTGTTTTGTACTGAGATTAAATATTCTGATAAATTACGTCTATTAAAGGTTTATTGCTCACCTAAGAAGTACGTAGATAGAATTATTCGTCTCTCAAAGAAGAATGAAGATAATACGATAATTGCTGATTTACTCTCTAGTGATCGTAATGAAGATCAATTGCTTGATGATTATCAAGATGTTGCTGCTGATGAGAGTCCATCATTGGGTTCTAATGAAGAAAGTTCAGATGATGATGATTACAATGATGAACAAGAAGAATGTATTCTACCTAGAAAAGCAGAATCCAATCCAGTTTCTAATTGTGGTCTCGATCAAAGTGAACTCAAGACATGTTATGCTGAACTTTTAAAATTTGAACAAGAAGGAGATTTACAAATTGAATTTCAAGTTTCAGATGACAAAGCTGTAATGTCAGTCTTTGAGAAGGAAAGACTTCAATCAAAGGAAAGACTCTTGATGGTTGACAAATTTGTTCTCTGTTATAATAGTGAAATCTTGAAAAGTAGATATGGTAAAGTGGCAATATGGGACATTCCTGGTTATGGTGAACAGAATAATAGTGAAATTCTTTCCATGTTAATTGAAGAGGTTATTTCTAATTGTAATGTCATTCTTAAGGGTTTAGAAAGTGTAAGACAAATTGTTGGTGTTGATTGTGTCCCTGATTTATGGACCTACAAGGTATTTGAAAAGAATACTGATAATCCACCAACCATTGTTTTGACATCACTATGTCAGACAATAGCTAAAGAGAAGAATCCATACAAAGAATTGACAGAACTTCATGAAAAATATTTAACAGATTTTAAGAGTAATTTGAGTGATTTCTTCGATGTTGATCTTGAATGAAAATATTTCACAACTTGGAAAGATTGAAGAGTCCAAGAGGAAGGATGTTGATTTCTTTGGAAAGTATGATTTTGTTGTTGCAGTAGCTAATCGAGCCACTAATTTAACAATCCCACATAAAACAGATAAGGAGAGATGGAATATATTCTTCAAACAACTTGGTGAAATAATTGAAATGAGAAAGACTATTGAAACTAATTTTTTAGTTTTTCAGGGATTGAGATATGCTTTACAAATTGCAACTCTTTACAAATCTCAATTTCCAATCAAGGCAGCAGTAGATGCAAGAGCAGCAATTAAAACCATTCTCAAGGAAACTTACTTTGAATTATCAACATGTGTCAAGACATTGATGAAAAGTATTAAAAGAACTGAAAAGAAATGTAGAAATATTGAACAGAGACAGAGTGAAGAACCCATTGAAACATTTTCACCTCACGAAACCTTAGATTGTAATATTCAAAGTCAATTAATTGAATATGATAATTGGATTGAGTTTACAACTTATTTCTATGAAAGAAACAGAAAAATTAGATATAGAATTGACATGTACAAGAATCAAATGTTTGAATTTATTGAAAAGAAGATTGATTCATTAATGGCAAAACAAAAGAAGGATTTAGCAACTAAGGAAGAAGAAATGAATACTTTTAAGGGAGAATTAGTTGAAATTGTTGATGATATTTTCCACTCTATGAATTTTGTTTCACCAAATGAACGCATTGAAGATTATGGAAGTTTTGATATATTTTACTCAATTTTGAATTCAATGAAAGAGTATTTGAGTAATTGTGCAGATGAACTCTTACATATTAGAGGTCAATTAGAATCTGAAGAATATCTCAAATTAGCAATTGAGAAATTCAAGTTAATTGATGATATGAGAGTGCTTTTGAAAAAGGAAAAAACTAAACCTCTTAAAGCCGAACATTTAGGTCTTTCAAATCGTTATCCATCACCTGCATGTAAATCAGGAAAGGGTTGTATGATTATTCCTGATAAGGAATATAACACCATTAGAGAGCTTAAAAGAGCAAAAGTTCTTTCACCCAGTGAAAAATTTGGTAATGTTCAAAAATTACCAAAAAGTAGCATTAGTTTGACAAGAGTTGAAAAGGAAAGTATTGATGCAGGTTTATCTGAAGAACAAAAGAAATTATATCAAAAAGGTCAACTGGTCCTCATGGAAATTGATAGAAATGAAAAACAAGTTCTTGTTTCCTATGAAAAGGAATTGAAGGAAACTAAACTGGCAAAATTTAAATCCTTGCTCTCCACTGATGCCTTAATTGGAACTATGGGTGGTAATAAGAGTCATAGTCGACAACGAATTGCTCCAATTTTCATTACAACTCTTCCAGAATATTTTGAAGAAACATCTCCAAACTTTTTAGAGAGACATGTTCATGATTGTTGTATTAAACATTCCAAAAATGGAAGTCAAGATTATTTAATTTTCATCATGGTTGAAAATGCATTTTTGGAAAAGGCTCGTTCATTCCTAAATGAAGCCATGAATGAGGTAGAAAAGGCACCTAACTATGTATTTGTCAGTATTGATACTGAAATATTTATCAATATTGGAAAGAAGAAGAAACTTTGTATGTTATTGGCAGAACATTTCGAATTGGAAATTTATCATGTCATGGAAGATAATTTCATTCATGCTGAAGAGTATAAGAAACCTATTTTTGTTCGACACAATAACGCATTGGCAAGATATCTCATATTTGCAGAGGCCATCATTTACTTTGAATTACATTCAAGTTATGATTATCAACAAAAAGAAGAAGTAATTAAGGAATTTCTAACCTATGTCACGGAAGAAAATCCATTGATAAGATCACATTATACTTGTGGTAAAATAGGTGATAGTGATCGATTGAGAATGTTTAAAACCTTTGAAGAATTCAGAAAAAAGTGCATTGAAGATCCAAGAGAATTGTGGACTATTCTTGAGGAGACCAAGGCACATCTAACAAAGGAAGGTAAACAAATTCTTTCAAAGTATAAGAAGCTATATAATGAAAAGTTTGATAAGAGAAATCATGTAGGTCATGTCTCATTGTGGAATGTTAGAACTGCTCAATCAAAATTCCTTAGTAATGAAGTTGACAAATTACAAAAAACAACTCATTTTGTTTCATCTGCAAGAGGTAATATCAGTACATTCTATGGTCCTAATATGATTGGAATTCATCCAGTCTCAGATATGGTTCTATTCGATGGTATTTCATCAAAGGATGTTGTTAAGAAAGATCATGAATCATTCAAGGAAGGAAACAATTCCTCAGATGAATACTTTATCAGACAAATGTTATTATATGGTATTGGTGGATTCCAAATCTATGCTTTCAAATATAGTGGAGGTTTAAGAAAGAATGCAAATAGACAATTTCCACATAAAAAATTGACAGATAAGAAGGTTAAATCTCCTACTCAAAAATCACCACAAGTTAAGGGAAATAAGAAACAACAAGCATCAAGTTCTTCATCCTCATCACCTATTGTAAAGTTAGAGTTGAATAAGTTACCAGTGAAAAAAGAAAAGAAGGTAAAAGAAATTATTGAAAACACCCCTACATCAAATCCTACATCAAATAGAAAGAAAGCAACAAGTTCATCAATTTCTAATATTGAAAAGAATGTTCAATCTGTTAAAAGTGGACAAGCAAGTTCAAGCTCTTCAACAGCTCCAAAACATACCAATCAAAACAGGGCTGCAAGTTCTTCATCATCTCCATCGACTAATACTGCCAACAGAAAGAGAAAGGAATCTGATAAGAGTATTGATCCACCAAAAAAGTTAACAAAGAGATAATTTCTTGATAGTAAAGCTTATTTGATTGTATGTTCATAATCAATATTACAAATTTAGAAAACATTAATAGTTGAAATGTTCAAAAGCATTTGCTTAAAATTTATTGGTGTTGTGAAGAATTGTACGCCAATAAGATTGCTAACAAGACCACAAGAATTGCCAAAATCTTAACCAGAACTCTATCACTAGAATTACTTCTTACTTGTTTTGTGGATGATTTGGCTGTCGTTGATTTTTGACTTGAGGTTGCCTTGCTCCTTTGAGTTGGTGTGGAAGGAACACTTTCCTTAACATTCCAATCAGGATCTGAAGGTAAAACCTCTCCTCTTGCCATAACATTTCTAAAACTTCCATCAAAAATCTCAGGTTGATAAGAAATGGTTGGTTTCAACCAAATTTCCTTCATCCTTGTGTGAAAAACTGGATTTGTGTGAGCAGCACTTGGTGGAACAATCCAACTGTAACGTGCAGGACATTCTCTTCCTTTCTTTTCCTCATTTTGCATATGCTTTACAAATTGTTTACCTGCAGTGTGATGATCAACCATCTTGACATTTTGTTTATCGAATGAATGTTGAACCATGACATTGAATTCGGCAGAGGCAATATCTTTCCAGAATGGATTCTTTTTTGATTCGGCATCTGAATCAGGCCGCACACCAATAACTCTTCCAAATTCATCTAAGAGATTATATCTAAAATCATCCAAAAAGTTTCTTGTAATTTCAGTTGTCATGTACCTTTGATTCGAATATTTTGTTTTCATTCAAACAATTAATTCTTAGAAACTTACCATCCATTGAATGCAGCTGCAGTATAAAAAACACCTCCCAATTCGAATCTCATATTGGTAATAGCTGGCAATCCATGCCAACGTAAAGCCATGTCACTTGTTTGTGGATATTTTGGATGTTCGAGATGAACCTCAGTTGTGTATTCAGGTTCCAAATCGAAATATTTAGTCTTTCCTTGAACTCCAATTTGAATCAGGAGTGGAAGAATGTCAAATCTTGATTTTGGTTGATCTTTCCTCCAACCAAGAGAAAGTGCATGTTCAGTCAAGGCAACATGATCTGGATCACCTAAAACACTTCCATCATTGTTTTTATAACCTGCATAACGAATGATTTGTGGATTGTGAATACGAATTTCATCACTTCCATCTGGATTGGAAACTTGACGAAAGAGGGTAACACTAGATCTCACATTACCATCATTGAAGGCAAATTTGGCATGTTCCTTTAGTGCTTGAGCTATTTCTTCCTCTGTTTTGCAATGTCTCTTGTCATGGACGGCTAATACTTGCCAGTGAACCTTTCCAATACTTTAATTCTTGTTACTATCATTATTCGAAACTTTTAACTTACCAACTCACTGAATTTCTCCAAGCAACCTTGCAGCCATAGGTTAATTCTTCACTGGTATGAACATAAGTTCCAGTCCTATCAATCTCTGCCTTGATTATTTGCAATCTTTCATCAATTTCTTCTGGTTTCTTCTTCAACTCTGTATAAAGTAATGTTACAAAATTGGTTGCTTCTTCAAAGACTTCTGTCTTGCTCAAGACCGGGACCGTGGTCCCAGAAATTTGGTCTGGTGTAGTAGAAGTGGACGAAATCATTGCCGATTCTTAGAAGCTTGGTTTTTTGTTTGTTTTTTTGACCAATTCTTGGCCAATTCAGTTCCCTCATCTTATGCAAATTGTAATGGACATGCCAAAAATGATATCGAGACCAAAAGGAGTTTAAGGCGGAGAATGACTGAACAATTAACATAATCCGACCAATATCCTTTTTATTACATTAAACTTTTACAACAATTATCTAAAATTTTCTTTGTTAAGAAATATTGTGGTTGACCAATTTTCGAGAATCATTATTAACTTGTTCACTTTCTCGTTTTAGCTATTATTGGTGTTTCTATCATTTTCATAAGTGTTTAACAAACATTTCAATAATTTCATCATTGTAGCTTGAAGTTGATCCTGTATTGGTACCACCAGTTGTTGAATGATGATATTATGACAATGACTTGTCAGAAGTTAATTCACATTTAATAAATCTGACAAGGAATGTTGGATCATTTTGCTTCTTTCGAGATACAGACTGTACTTATGAAAAGTTTCATAAGAGTTCCTCATCTGGATCATTTCCTATGTCCAATCCTAATAGAAGCCATTATTAAGGCTATTCGTGAATGTTCACCAATCTAAAACAAGCAATCATCATTAAATTGTGTTGGATGTAGCACAAACTCCCCAAAAGTCTACCCCTCATTCATACTCGTCCTCGTCATGCCAATCTCAATTTTGTTTCTCAACCATCAACATCTAAACACCGCCCTTCCGAGAAGGAAAACTCTTTCATACTGTATGAAGCCTTTGTTGTGCAGTATTTTTTTCGCGCTTTCTCCTTTGATATTAAGCATCACTGCAATAAAATTCTCTTAAAAAAATTATTGGTCGACCACAACAACATTCTAGTTTGGCCAACAACGAGAATTGATTTTGTCGGTTGGGAGAGTTTGTTATTGTTTTGTGTCTGTTGGTTGTTGAAAAGACAGTGTTGTGTGGAGAAAAGATACATTGGAATTGATATTATCATCATCATTATTACCTTGAGGAAATATGAGCGAAGTGAGGGTTTTTAAAGGTAAATAGGAATAATTTGATCGTGATGGAATTTTGATCATCAATTATAAAAATTTATTATTGTAATTATTATTAATTGGATTGAATTTAAATTCTGATGAATATGTGGATGATGAAACTAATTAGCGATTGTATTGGGAGATACACAGGTTGGGAAGAGTTGTTTCATGATGTGTATTACCAATGAAAAGAAGGAAACAAAACCAACGATCGGAGTGGAAATGAAAATTAAAAGTATTACAAAGGATGATAAAGTGTATAAAGTAACAATTTACGATACGTATGTTTTATTAGAATTGATGATATCAACCACCAAATATTTACAGTGCTGGACAGGAACGATTCAGAACAGTTACGAGTAATTACTATAGAGCTTCTCATTTGGTATTTCTGGTCTATGATGTAACATCTAGGAAATCATTTGAGAGTGTTAAAAGTTGGTTACTTGATTTTCAAACATATAGCAATTCAGATACATGTCCTCCTTATATAACACTAGTTGGGAACAAAATGGACTTGCGAGATCAAAGAGTGGTGAGCAGGGAGGAAGGTGAAATTTTAAAGAAGGAATTGGAATTGGATGCCTTTTACGAATGTTCTGTATCAACAAATAATGGAGTGAATGAAGCTTTTTTAAATGCAGTTCGTAAGTATTACTAGCATTCCAAATTGGTTTTAATTTTTGAACTATTTCTTTTTTTGGTAGTTTGCTTTGCTGAAAGAGAATCCAAAGAACGAGATCATGGGTCCTCTACAAATATTAATCTCTCAAAAACTCAAACTCAAACTCCAAATCAACACGATTCTAAAAAGTGTCAATGTGTTGTGTAAATAACACCAAAAAATTAATTTATACAGTATTAACAATTCATTAACAATTCGAGTTCTCTAATTATGTCCCAGTTGAGGACATGAACATTAATTACATTTCACAATAAACTCAGTTTATTGTCTTTCACAATAGGGCTAGCAATCAGCGACCGTTACATTAGGCAATTATCTTTCGTTTCCGCTAACTGTTTGGAAGGCAGTCATCAATCAAAAAAATGGAATTTCATTACAATACTGACTCGACAGGTGTTGATACTAATGTGGCAGAAGGTGGAGAAGAAACAATAACAGACACACAAATTTCAAAGGTTGTTGACTCATCCGCCACCACTACAACCTCTCCTCATCATCAACAAGAATATTTTAGAAATTCCTCTTCATCAACAACCTCATCATTGTCGGCTGATGTTGGTGATAATCATCAAGCAACACTATCACCATCAAATACAAGGTCAACTCTATCGGAAGACCTTTCCAATCATCATTACCATCATCAAACCAGCCAGAGTGTGAAAAATTTTGATTCACTTTCACTCAATGACTATGATGATTATGTAGTAATAACCCGTATGAGGAGCTCAACAGTTTGCACAAGTTTGCCTTCAAATCTACAATAGCTGAA